GTTCAGCCAAAACAGGGTTTTCAGTCTCAGTTGAGTTGTGATTTCTTCTGATGGCTTGTTGATTTCCAATCATAAATAAAACTGCAGTGGAAATGCATGGAAGAGTATCCAGTTTCACTTCTAAGTGTTAGAAATTGACTGAAGCCAACCACACTAGACACATCTCAAAATAAATTTGTCAGCGAGCGCTGTTGTATAACAGGAAGAGCAAATATTGTGGCAAAGATGTTGACGTGAACAAGAGAAAGGATATAACATTTCCTCAGAAGAACCGATGAGTTTCCAGTAACTATTGCAGATCCAGTTTTCCTGGAGTGTTTTTTTTTTTCAAGAGAATGCAGAGATTTTATAGTGTGTTTCCAATCTGACAGTGCTGAAAAGGATCTTCCGGTCAAAGAAACCACACTTTAGTGCAGCCACAAGCCGAAACCTCATTAGCTCATGCGGCCTTGAGATGAAACTTTTCCCTGTGAAAATGGGTAATAACATTCATCCTACACCGAATTGTGGATTTGGGCTTGCTTGTCTCTCCAGGTGAAAGCAGGCCTACTTCCAACAATTGTGGGCCATTGCAACCACATAGATCAGGGGTCGGCAACCTGCAGCTCTGGAGCCACATACGGCTCTGGAGCCACATGCGGCTCTTTCGGCCCTCTGCTGTGGCTCCCTGTCGGTTGATCCCGCCACTGGCTGACCCCTCCCCTCCTCTCCCCTTCACTCCTTGCCTGGCCTGAGAAGGTAAGGGTGATGGCGGGGGATGGAGACTCGCTCTGTATTCCAGAGCAGGAGGTGACTGGCTGGGAGTGAGTGACATTGAGCTGGCCACACCCACCCAGTCACACCAGTTGTTAAATTATTGGCTCCCGGTGTTTTCTTTTCTATGGGAAATGGGTCCAAATGGCTCTTTGAGTGTTTAAGGTTGCAGACCCCTGACATAGATAGAGACCAGAGGTGGTATTCGACTGGTTCGCACCTATTCGGGTGAACCGGTAGCGGTTATTTGGCATAGGTCGCCAAACCGGTGACAATCCCTGGCTGGCCACACCGCCAACTTGGTCGCTCACTTGCGATCGCTCTCCTAGCTTTCCGTTCTCCACGTCCTCTTTCTCCCCAGGAAAAAGGAAGAAAGGCATGGACGCTGCAAGTATCGCTTTCCCCTTGTGAGTTAAAGTGCTGGAGTGAGAAGGAGTGCGGTCTGACAGAGGGGGTGGGGGTGAATCGAGCCTTGGAGCACTTTTGCAAGGTAAAAGAATCCACTCAAGCCTTGGAGAAATTTAAAGGAGCTGCTTCCAAAATGCTTGTCTGTTAATGCTCTGTGTGTGTGTGTGAGAGAGAGAGGTGGGGGGGAGAGAGAGAGAGAGAGAGAGAAAAGAAAGAAAGAAAGAAAGAAAGAAAGAAAGAAAGAAAGAAAGAAAGAAAGAAAGAAAGAAAGAAAGAAAGAAAGAAATAAAAAATAGGAAGAGAGAGAGAGATAAAACTCTGTGCTATTATTTTTAATTGTTCCATTATTTATCATGTGTTCATATTTTATACTGTCCCTATACCTGGAGTGATTTTTCTGCCTTTCTTTTGCCCAGGGCTACCACATATTTTTCAAGGTTTACATGCATTCAATGTCAATAGTCCAGAGCATAAAATACACACGTGTTTAACAAGAGTTGAAAGGGACCTTGGAGGTCTTCTAGTCCAACCCCCAGCTCAGGCAAGAAAACTGAGGATGCCAACAGTGTTGGGAAGATCACTGACAAAACTTTTAAAAAACGACCATACTATGCTTTTTTGCAAACCACCAGAATATGTCTGAATCCATAGTGTGAGATTAAAGCAAACGGACTTCTGTAAATTCTATCCAGCAAGGCCCCTAATCATTTGTTGAACGTGTTTGAATGTGGACTCGCGTAGAAGTCAAAAACAATTGATTTGAGGCCTTGCATAAGATCAGGTCTGTTCTGGCTGGAAACCAAGATGGAATGAGAGGTATTGATCTGTGCAGCCTATTTTTATTTATTTATTTATTTTATTTTGTCAAGAGATATAAGATAACAGGTATAAGTATAAACATAGTTATGAATACAAGAAATGGATACGAATAAGAAAAAAAGAAACAATAGGACACGGATGGTAGGCACCTTGGTGCGCTTATGCACGCCCCCTACAGACCTCTTAGAAAAGGGGTGAGGTCAATAGTAGACAGTCTAAGGTTAAAGTTTTGGAGGTTTAGGGAAGAAACAACAGAGAGTATTCCAGACATTGACCACTCTGTTGCTGAAGTCGTATTTCCTGCAATCAAGTTTGGTGCGATTAACCTTAAGTTTGTATCTATTGTGTGCTCTTGTATTGTTATGGTTGAAGCTGAAGTATTCATTGACAGGTAGGACATTGCAATATATAATTTTATGTACTATACTTAGATCGGACCGAAGGTGGCATAGTTCTGGGTTTTCTAGGTCTAGAATTTCAATTTCTGGTGGCATAAGGTATTCTGCAATGGGTAGAGGAGTGGAGAACTCTTCTTGTGAAATATTTCTGGACTTTCTCAACTGTATTAATATCAGATACCTAATGTGGGTTCCAGACTGATGAGCTGTATTCGAGTATTGGTCCAGCATATGTTTTGTATGCTCTAGTTAGTAGTGTGATATTACCAGAGAAAAAGCATATTTTATATCATATTATGCTATATTGTATTGCATAGGACTCTCCAGAGTCAAAGAGGGGTTGGTAGCCTCCCTCGCAGGGTTGTCAGAAAACTCCAAATAACCCCACTTTGATTTTCTATTTCTTCATCTAACGTTGCTAATATTTTTAATATTTACAATTTTACTTGTAAGCTGGCCAGAGTTGCTTTGCAGAGTGAGATGCACAGCAAAATAATTTAACAAACAAATAAATAAAAAGTAAGCTACACTCAGTGTGAACTGTTGAGCAGACAAGTGGCCTCAATTCATCAGGAGCAGGGAAATAATTAGGTGTTTCTATTTGCTCACAAGGGATGTCCCTTACATTTTCCTTTGCACCCTTTCACTGTGAAGAACCAGGGGTGTTCAAATTAGGACAGGTTTATTCCATGCTATCTCTCCCTAAACAAGAATCCGAACTTCTAAAAGTTAAGGCAAATTGGTGGTAGATAAGAATCAAAGTCTATGGAGATTCTCCATCATCCAGGTCATGATTGTCCAAAAGGTGCTTTTTCAAGAGGGAATTGGACTTTCTGTTTTTTTCTTTGAAAACATTTTGCTTCTCAACCAAGAAGCTTCTTCCGTTCTGGCTGGATAGTGGACTCTCTAAAATGCAAATGACCAGCTGTCTGCAAGGAATATAAATCCTTCCATTCCCCCACGCCCATCCAGTCAGAGCTGAAGAAGCTTCTTGGATGAGAAGTGAAACGTCTTCAAAGAATAACCAGGAAGTCCAGTTGCCTCTTGAAAAGAAAAACACCTTTGGGACAAGTGATTCAGATGATCCCGACAGATGAGAGTGTAATCAAAAAAATATTAGAATGTGCAGAAATGGATAGATTAACCCTTTCAATTGAGAAAAAAGAAGAAACTGAATATTTCTTGAAATGGGATTTACTTTACCAATGGTTAGATCAGTGGTCACCGACCAGTGGGCTGGGGACCACTGGTGATCCACGAGAAAATTGTGGTGGTCCGCAGAGAAATGACACCCCCCCCCCAAGCATTCCAATATAGGAGCCTCTGTGGCGCAGTAATTAGAGTGCAGTACTGCAAGCTATTCCTGCAGCCAGCTGCCTACAATTTGGCAGTTCAAATCCCACCAGGCTCCAGGTTGACTCAGCCTTCCATCCTTCTGAGGTGGGCAAAATGAAGACCCAAATTGTTGGGGGCAAAAGGCTGACTCTGTAAACCGCTTTGAGAGGGCTGTAAAGCACTATAAAGTGGTATATAAGTCTTAAGTGCTATTGCTATTCCAAAGCAATTAATACAGGCTGTGCGGGAACACAAGGCTGCACCGCCCACATGGCCTGCCCACCCGCTGGCCCCCACCCATGAGTGGAGCCACGTGAGCTGGGACTGGAAGGTAAGACCAGCAACAGGGGAGGGAAATCCGCCCCGGGGTGTCTTGCTGATGTTGGTGGGAAAGTCAGTCCTTATTCCAGAGCTGCAGTTGTCACAAAACTGGCCTTTTTTGTCATCCCAGAGCAGCTCCTCCAGTCCATGGCAGGCTGGTGCACTTGGGTGGAGGAGCAGCTGCTCCAGGATGGCCAAAGGGCCAGTCCTGTGACTACTGCAGCTCTGGAATATGGGACCGACTTTCCCACCAACATCAGCAAGCCATTGTCTGTCAAAATTCATATTAGTGGTCCGCGGGATTTAAAATTATGAGTTTAGTGGTCCCTGAGGTCCAAAAGGTTGGCGACCCCTGGGTTAGATAATAAAAACAGGAGTTAGAAATATGGGGATATAAATGCAGGACAAGTGTTAGAAAGGAGACTTGTTAAAGTAGATAAGTTAAATATTATTGTTATTATAGTATGAATATTATTGTAATGGACATCATTGTAAACATTTTGATTATGATTGCTTAAAAATAACTGTACCCAGTCAACACACTGTTCAATTGAAATTGAATCTTTACATGTTATATAAATAAAATAAATAAAACATGGGGGAAAAAAAACCCACCTTTGGAACATAAGAGTCAGTGGAATTCAAGATGGGTTGCAGTTAGATCTCTTGCAACTGCAAAGGAATTCCAAACTAATGACACTCTTGACTCCTCCCTCGGTCTCAGCCCGGTCCTCTCCCACATTAACCAAACCTTAAGGCAACTTGTAATGGGTGATCGACTGGTCACTTTGGAGTTTGGAAAGAGTTAAAATTCTGACAGCAGAAATAAGAAACCCGCAACCCAAGGACTCGGCTGGTCAGGGCCTTAAAAAAAAAGAAAAAGAAAATCGATGCAAAGTACATTGCTGATGCAAATCCTTTTGACAAAAGAGCACTAAAAGTTTATTTTCACTTTTGTTTCAACAGTTCACGACCGGGGAGACCCCCCAAGCGCTCTCTGGGGGTTGCGGTACAAGAGAACACGCGCTTGCTTCCCCACGGAGTGCCGGGCCTCTTATCACCAGGGCTTATCTCCCCAACAGGTAATAAAATCCTTTGGATGCTTCCCTCCCTCCTCCGTCCTGGGCAGCCGTTGAAATAAACTAATATTGATCTAACTGCCTTGTCCTTCAGGGCTTTTTCAAGCTTTACCAGAGGTTACATTATTGGATTTCTGGAGCATTCATGAAACCTCTCTCCAGACACCCCCTCCCCAGATCCCCCACCCAAGCCCCTCACCCCACGTGGCGTTGCTGAGCTGACTAAAACCTAATGGATTTGCAGTTTAGCTCTTCATTAATCGTAATTTCCTTAAAGGGGAAAGTGCCATTAGATGCCTTGGACATGCGATATGGGGAAAGGTTGATCTCAGAGCTTTGGAAGGGACTGGGAGGGGATTCTTCGAGGGGTGGGGGGCAGAATTCTCTTTGTTGTCTTCCAAGCTTAGACGCTAGCAATCATGGGGGCAGGAGGCGAAGGGCAGCTTCATAAATGCCAATGGATTTTGGCCTCAGGATTTGCAACGTGATAAGGGATGCGGTGGCTCAGTGGCTAAGACGCTGAGCTTGTCAATCAGAGGTTCGAATCCCCAGCGCCGGGTAACAGAGTGAGCTTCTGTTACTTGACCCGCCTTCTGCCAACCTAGCAGTTCGAAAGCATATTAAAATGCAAGTAGAAAAATAGGGACTGCTTTGGTGGGAAGGTAACAGCGTTCTGTGTGCCTTTCGAAAGCGTTTAGTCGTGCCGGCCACATGACCACGGAGACGTCTTCGGACAGCGCTGGCTCTCTTTGGCTTTGTAAGGGAGATGATCACCGCCCCCTAGAGCCGGAAATGACTAGCGCATAGGTGCAAGTGGAACCTTTACCTTAGGAGCATAAGAAGCTGGATAGTGTAGATTGCAAGTGGTTGTCCACCTTGGTAGACCTCTTCTGGGATTAGACAATAGGGAGGTTGAGGTGGTGGAGGCCAGCAGCGCCATCCGGAGGGCCAATTCACTGAACATCGTTGCTTGCAGTAGAGAAGATGGGGGCTCTTTCCCTAAGCCAGCTTTCATATAGGAAATCTTCTTGCTTGCTTGCAAGACTTCTGCTGACTGCCGTCCGCCAGCAGTTTGGCAGTTCAAATCTCACCGTCCCAAGGTTGGCTCCTCCTTCCATCCTTCCTAGATGGGTAAAATGAGGACCCAGATCGGTGGGGACAAAATGCTGGCTCTGTAAAACAGCTTAGAGAGGGTTGTGAAAGCACTATGAAGTGATATATAAGTCCAAGTGCCACAGTTGTTAAGCGAATCGCTGTGTTTGTTAAGTGGATCACTGTGTTCATTAATCAAAATTGGCTTGCCCCGTTGTCTTCATTCATTGGAAGATGGCTGGAAAGGTTGCAACACAACCCTGGGATGTTGCAGCCATTGTAAGTAAATGCCAGTTGCTGAATGCCTGAATTTTGATCCCATGATGGTGGGAAAGCTGTGACAGTTGTAAGTGTGAGGCCGTAAGTAACTTTTTTCAGTGCCTGGGGAACTTTGAATGATTGCTAAAAGAATGATTGTAAGTTGACAACTTATATGAACAATATCAGTGAATCTTAACTAATTGAAATCCCTACAATGTCCATCAAAATAATGAGAGGAGGAGGAAGAAAAGGGAAGGAAGGAAGGAAGGAAGGAAGGAAGGAAGGAAGGAAGGAAGGA